AAATCTAATCACACAACCAAACTACAACCAATCTAACCACACATAACCAAACTACAACCAATCATCCAACCAATTTAGCATCTACTAAAGAAATCGTTCCTCTTCAGTTTGTGTACAGCATTCCTCTTTAACTGAATCATTGTTTCAGTGAGCTCTGAAAGTAACAGATTTATCTGAACTTGTTATCATTTTGGTCAGAGATGAGATCTGTCAGGAGGAAGAATGGATCCTCCGGCCGACCCACAACACAAACACCGTCRTAAAGCAGGGAGGACTGTTTGTTTCTGGTAGTAGAATGAAGAGAAAGAAGCCTCGGCTCAAGGGCTCCTCAGTAACGTTTGAGACAGTTAGACTCTGAACTTTAAACACATAAAACAGATTTGATGCCAAAAATTATCTTCAGCACTGAAGAGGAGAAAAAAAGCTCCAAGGTTCTCATCAACCAACAAATTAAAAAAGGTTTTCTGTGAAAGGAGTTTAAAGCCGTTCCAATGTGTTTTGGCCTTCACCAGAGACACTGAGCACTAAAGCAAAGAGCCTGAGTGTCCCCTGCTACTAAATCACCGTAAAGCTTTTATTGTCCTCTCCTCTGTATTGATTGTCACCGTCTAACCATTCCAGAGGAAGAACAAGGACGGCGCTTTTAATTCTCTTTCTCTCCGTTTCTTTAAACTGATTCACGTCTGTGAGGCTGCATGTCGAGCGTCGCTTCCAGTGACTCCAAAACCATAATCCCAGCTGAAGACTGTAATTTACCTCCGTGAAGTCTGACAGCCGGGCAAATTACAGGTGTCTGTATCTGAGACACCTCACTGCAGGGCTCAGGTGATGCCCGCCGGTATGTGCCACATTTTTTATCAACCTGTGAGTTTTCATCTGGAGGCCGAGGCGCAGACGCCAGGTTTTATTTAATTGAAGGTGTTTATAATTAGGTTTCAATTTGACCTCAGCCTGAAGAGACGCAGAGCAGAATTTCTGTCGTTTTTTTGTTTCATCCAGAGTGAAAAGATGAGTTCTTCACACCTGATGACTCAAACTCGTTTAGTCTGTCCCAACATCTGGATCTGTCCCGACTCTCCTAAAACTAGATCTGTCCCGACTCTACCAAAACTAGATCTGTCCCGACTCTACCAAAACTGTATATGTCCCGACTCTACCAAAACTAGATCTGTCCCGACTCTAACAAAACTGGATCTGTCCCGACTCTACCAAAACTAGATCTGTCCCGACTCTACCAAAACTGGATCTGTCCCGACTCTACCAAAACTGGATCTGTCCCGACTCTACCAAAACTGGATCTGTCCCGACTCTACCAAAACTGGATCTGTCCTGACTCTACCAAAACTAGATCTGTCCTGACTCTACCAAAACTAGATCTGTCCTGACTCTACCAAAACTAGATCTGTCCTGACTCTACCAAAACTAGATCTGTCCTGACTCTACCAAAACTAGATCTGTCCTGACTACCAAAACTAGATCTGTCCTGACTCTCCTAAAACTAGATCTGTCCTGACTACCAAAACTAGATCTGTCCTGACTCTCCTAAAACTAGATCTGTCCTGACTCTCCTAAAACTAGATCTGTCTCGACTCTCCTAAAACTAGATCTGTCCCGACTCTCCTAAATCTTGATCTGTCCTGGCTCTCCTGAATCTAGATCTGTCTCGATTCTCTAAATCTAGAGCTGTCCCGACTCTCCTAAAACTGGATCCGGACTCAGACGCTCCATGTGGGTCTGTTACTGACTTGGTTGAGTCTGGATCAGCTCGACTTGGTGTTTACCTGTGCAGGTGAACAGAACCCAAAGCTGTGTGGTCACCTGGAGGTCAACCAAATGTCAGCTTAATGTGTCTAAACACATCTAAGATGTGGTCAGGTCTTCTGGTTAGTTTTGGAAGCCATCTTGAATTTTGATTTAGTGTTTGGAATTTGTCAAAGCTTGTTCTTGGCTACTATTATTCCAGTTTTCAGCTCCATAAATCTTAAAACAAGCTGTTTTCTTGCAATGTTCTTGTTTCTTTCCAACTGAGAAATCTTAATATAATATTTCGGGTTTCCTCTTTTTATTGACATCAAAAAATACTCAATAAATTTACATAAAATTAGGATTCAGACCAAACATGAATGTATTATCGTAACCAAAAAGACAAATTAAGTCATATCTCTGGATAAAAGCTTATGATATCGGAATGATCCAGGTATCAAAATGTAGCTTATAAAGCATGAATCTGAAAATGTGATTAGATCATTTTGACCAAATTTGACTTAATCCTCATTTCAATATGATGGGCCACATATATCACTTAAATTTAATGTGACAGGCACTAAAGTTGAGAGCTGAACTCCGTGTATTTAAATGAGGGTTTTAGGTGTAGTTTTTTTGCGATTTCCGTCACCATAATAACTGAACYGAGCTGGATGTTCTGCTGTTCAGCCCACATTAATCATGATGAAAGGGTTACATATGAATAAAGTAATGTTCGAAGAATTAATGGATTTCAGCATTAAAAGGTAAATAAAAACTTCCACATTAAGTAATATTAAACCAAAACCCTCCAACAGGTCTGACTGGAACCCTTTAAAGCCAGCTGAAGGCGAGTTTGGACAGGTCTGTTTTCACGTGTTTATTTTTGAAGCCATATTAATTTCTGGCCTTGCGGTGGATGAAACATCTGATCTGAGAAGGTTTCCTCTCCTCCTCAGTTAACCCCTGCAGAGTCTCAGCTCCTCGGTGTTTATCTCTGAGCCACGTCGTCTCTGTTGCAGATGGAAATCTCCGTTTGTGAACTTTCAGCAGAGATTTAAAGGCGGCACTCGTCTCACAGAGCTGCAGACGCTTGGAACAGACTCTCCTCCACATACTTGTGTTCAGGAGGTTGGCGCTCTGGTGTTTTTTTGGAGCGGGGGGGGGGGGGGGGGGGCTGCAGCTGTCGAACAGACGCTTGTTGATCGCAGGGCAGCCGGGCCCAGGGTTCTGTTTTCTTTATGGATCCAGTGACTGAAGGTGGTGTCTTTTCATAAAGGTCTGYGTGATGAGCTCAGGCCTCTCGCTCCTCTGAAAAAATAAAATAAAATGAACGCAGAAAAGCAAACAGCCTCTCTTTGTGTGCGAAGTTCTGTCTCTGGTGGCCCGGGTCCAGTTCTGTAACGAGCAGCAGCTGCTTCAGAGGCCCGCGTCCCTCGACCCGATYGACGTGTCGTTCATCGTCTGGCTGCTGCTTTTGTTCAGAAACACAACAGTAAACACGCGTGGCCACGTTCTCTCCTTCCAGCTCTGCTTCCTGGTTGATGTTTGTGTTTAAACAATGTAGCGTTAGCTTTAGCATTAGCTGCTCAGCTCAGATTCAAGAGGTTTTCTTGTCATTTCACAAATATACGGGTACATAGTGAGATGAGATTGCATTCCTCCTTGGCCCATGGTGCAGCACAAAATACAAAAGAGTGCAAACCTCTGCCAAGACCAATGTCCTCCATCCTGTAAGAGTTAATGCACAAAAGCAGAGATGGAAACACATTTGCCGAATAAGTTCTGACGTAGTGAACATTTAAGCAGCAGTATGCATGGGATTTCTTCTTGGTGGAGTCCAATGTGAAAAAACAAAAGTCAGACTCATAACTCGACGTTATTCATCAAACTGGTGTGGGATTAAGCTCCTAAGTTTTCTTCAGTCACATTTCACCATGTAAAACGTCTGTTTTATCTCCTTGTATGAGTTTGTAATGGTTTGACTCTCTTTATAAAGTGCTTCCTGGCTCCCCCCGTCTCCAAACTTTGAGGCCCGGCAGCTCTCTGTTTACAAGCCTAGTAGAGACAAACTGTTTTGATTGGTTGTTTCGGAAAKGTGGTGTGTTTGAGGAAATGGGAAAAATAGGTTTCATGGTGCAGTCACATACTTCCTGCTCACAAAACGTTCTGTAAACGCGCATATTGTGGTAAAAATTATTCATCATTAAATGTGGTTTTAACATTACTTTTATAAAGTTTGAAGTCCGTGCTGTCCAATCCAGCTCACTGTTTTTTACAGAAGCCCTGTGAAAGCATCACAGCTTTGCCGATCTTAAAAGTGTTAAAAGAAAAAAAATTCCTGTATCCGCATCGTGATCCAGAACATAACCAAAATTTAAAGGTGTGTTCCTTGGCCCAGTACCCACATGTGGTAAAAATGTCATGACAATCTGTGCACAAGTTTTTGAGTAATGTTGTCCACAGACAGAACGACAAGACAGACATACGCGACGGAAAACATTACCTTGCCCTTGKCGGAGGTAATTACTTAAAATTGAATTCCTCCAACAACACTTTCACCAGCAATTCCTTTTTACTTTAAAACATTTTAAACTTGTGACAATTTTCTTTCAAGATTAAACAGATTAATTTAAAAGTTTCTCCTTTAAAACCTGGTGTTTATGTTGAAGAGAAAATAACACAGTTGCAAAATACAATATCAATAAACATTTTCATTGAATTGAATTGAATGGAATCGTGATTAAACGTTTTTGAACTTAATGAATCGATTTAGAGAATTGGCCACGATACCCAGCCCTATTCATGGATGCTCCCTTTATACCCAAACCTGTGAAATGATCCAAACAGGTGTTTTTAAGCATAACTTTACTTTCAGTCTTTTTTCCCTTTTTGAACTTGTTGCAGCATCAAATTCAAAATGAGTRGATATAAAGAACAACTAGAGAATTTGCATTTCCAGAGAAAATGCTAGTGTGAATGCCTCTTGATAACTTTAGCTGAAGCTAAGAAACAAATTGATGCCACTGATGTAACTGATATTGTCACTGATGACATCATCATCGTCAAAATTCTAATTGAAATTGCTAAAAAATTATAAAAATTTAAGATACCAAAAACCATTGATGTCCAGAATGAGCTGAACATTTTATTATAAGAATGGTTTAAGTAGCATAAAAATTGTGGAAGGAGAAGCGGTCCAAAAAACGTACGGAAGAAACTGGAATAATAAAGAATAAAGCGAAACATGAAAACAATCGCATTCACACAATAAAGTTTATCAGTTTGAACATTAAATATCTTGTCTTTGTAGTGAATTCAGCTGAATAAAGGATATACAAATCATCATATTCARTTTTTATTTAAGCTTGGTTGGAATCAGAGTTTTCCTTCAGTTCAGTCTGTTTTCCCTTTAATGGCCTCTTCACTGTTCAGAGCAGGTTTCCTGTCCCAGCTGGACCGGACCCAGAAAGTCCAARGAAGGATTTGGTCTCTTGTGTTTGGACTCGGGAGCATCAGGGCTCGGTCCGGGAGCAGTTTGTGTTTCTGAGCTGAAGCTTTTATTGTGAAAAAAACAAAAGCCCGAACCTGKCAGGAGGAGGACGGTTTTATCAGGTGTTTTAAATCTGAAATGAAACAAAAAGTGAAGAAGAGGAGTGAGAAGCTCCGATGACATCATTTCATGAAATTCAATCTTTTATGAGTCGGAGCTGCTGAGCAGGAAGGCAGCGTCGAGTCAGGAAGGCTTTGAGATCCATGATCATTTTTTCAAGATAAACTCTAAAACTGAACGAGTTTTTTTATTATTATTTTTCTGCATCTGTTGTAAAAACTGCAGGAATGACTTAGTTTCTCTCAGGCTGAACCGATTAAGATTTTAAATTGTTTTTATATGAAGAACTAAGAAGAGTAAATTTTAATGAATGTTTGGGTTTAATGARGTTTTAAAAGCAGAAATAACTTCTGTAACATTTACGTTCAACACTAATCATTTTGTTTTTGTATTTTTTTTTAAATAAGCGAAGCCAATAAACATCTGCTGATTGATTGTGCTTCCAGAACCCAGMTGAGTTTTATTTTAATTTTATTTTAAACAACATGACTACACTGTTAATTATTTCACGCCTCGGGAAATTAAATGTTTCTTTCACTTAATTATCCTCAAAGTGCACAGTTAGTGCAACGGATGGCTGTTTTGATATTCAACTAAKCTGCAATATTTTTCCAATTAGTCGATTAGTCAGCGATTATTTTTGTCACGACGTCRTCTATGCTTCCTGTGGGCACACCTTCCAGCTCCAGTACTCATCTCACCTGTTCATCATACCTGTGAATGTCACCGTTATCCAGTGTCTCTACTCAAACACAAGTTCACAGCTAATTAAAATAACCCATGAAACACGTGAATTTCAACCTGAAACAGCTTACTCAGATGTTTTTAACATTAATGTAAACATAATAAAAATGTTGCAAGTAGACTTTTAAACAAACGGCTAAAGGCCCTGTCACTATAACGTTTTTAGACAACTTATGCCAAATTATGAAATTTCTTTTATGTCTAAATTACCAATAAAAGTTATTATTTGATCAGTTTGTTAGAATTGCATGTACACGCCTAAAAGAGGCTTCCAGTTGATATTTTTAAAATTTAATCTTCAACTTAGATGTCTTTAAAATTTGCGAAAGTTGTCTAAAAAGTTACAGTGTGACAGGGTCTTAAAGTACAAATAACTCAAAATATCTACCTCTTCCCCAGCATGAGGGGCTGTTAACCTGCGCTGCTGAAAGTCTTACATAAACTAAGCAATAATTTTGGTCAAAGGAACAGTCAAATGCATAAAATAATCCATCCTGATTGAAATCTTGCTGAATGTTAGTTAAAAAGTTATAAGACTTCAACATCATCAAAACAGGAGACGAGATGAGAAATATTAGTAATTCAGTGATTTAATATGAATCACGTAACTTATTAGCTACATTAGCATAACTGATAGCTCTGCTTCCAACAAACACTGTTTTCTGATGGTAAACTAACAAAACTTATAGTTGTCTTCAGAACAAAGTAATCAGTCACTGAATAAAAGATTTATGATGCTTCAACCTGACGAACAAACTAACTTTATGAAACTTAMCATCTGCAGAGGACGGCTGTAGCATGTTAGCGTCTCATGATGTCGTCATGTTTTTACTGCTGCTGACCTGCCATGGAATAACTTAGTTCGCATTTTACTTTCTGTGGTTGATTTTTGATGAAATGCAGCCAACTTTGGAAAGTTTAGGTCTGKTTTTTTTTCCGTCTTTGACGCGATCGTCTTTCTGATCTGCTATTATTGTCGCTCTTTGATTGGCCCGCGGCTTCTTCTGTGGTTTTTAGAGCGGCACACCACGTTCTTTTGTAAACAAAGCAACCGCAGACAATAGATTCTGCCCCCAGCAGGTCATGAATTGCATTGCGGTTACAAATGAACATTTACGTGTGTAAATAATATAATGCGTCAACGTTAAAATTCCGCCTCGACATATTTTCATAATCGATTACTTCGATTATGTTGACTAATAGTTGCAGCCCTAACAGTTAGTTGATAAATATTGAATTTAAAAGGTAACTCTGACCTGGTTTGTGATCAGATTCTTTTAACGTTACCTTCTCTTGTTTCAGGATTCCGCAAAATCAGCCTGGACGACCTGCGGAAGGCCTACATCGTCAAGGACGTGCAGCAGTACATCCTCCACCGGCTGGACCAGGAGGAGGCCCTGAGGCAGCACCTGACCAAGGAGACGGCCGAGATGCTGAACCAGCTCCACATCAAGAGCAGCGGCTGCTTCCTGTACCTGGAGCGGGTCCTGGATGGCGTGGTGGAGAACTTCATCATGCTGCGCGAGATCCGCGACATCCCGGGGACTCTGAACGGCCTCTATCTGTGGCTCTGCCAGAGGCTGTTCGTCAGGAAACAGTTCGCCAAAGTCCAGCCCATCCTCAACGTGATCCTGGCGACCTGTAGGCCGCTCACGGTCAAAGAACTGTACCACGCAGTCTGGACTAAGAACATGACCCTGACCATGGAGGAGTTCCAGAAGAAGATGGACATTCTGGCCAAGCTGTTGGTCGATGGTCTGGGGAGTACCAAAATCCTTTTCCACTACAGCTTTGCGGAATGGTTGCTGGACGTGAAGCACTGCACCCAGAAGTATCTGTGCAACGCAGCCGAAGGACACCGGATGTTGGCCATGAGCTACACCTGCAAAGCCAAGCAGCTGAAGCCCCTGGAGGTGCAGGAGTTCGCCCTTCACCTCGTTAACTCCAACCTGCAGATCGAGCCATTCAACCTGGCTCTCTGGATGGTCTGGAACGGGACGCCCACCAAAGACTCTCTGAGCTCCTCCATACCGAAAGAGCAGGAGGTCCTACAGCTCCTGGTCAAGGCCGGTGCTCACGTCAACAACGAGGACGACCACGCTTCGTGCATCGTCCAGCAGGCTCTGGAAAGAGAGGAATCCATACGAACGCTGCTGGACAACGGGGCGTCGGTGAACCAGTGCGACTCCAGCGGGAGGACCCTGCTGGCCAACGCCGCGTACAGCGGGAACCTGGACGTGGTCAATCTGCTCATAACCAGAGGTGCAAACATGGAGCTGGAGGACAACCACGGACAGACGGCGCTGACCCTGGCTGCACGGCAGGGTCACACCAAAGTGGTCAACTGCCTGATAGGCTGCGAGGCGGACATCAACCACACGGATCATGACGGGTGGACGGCACTCCGCTCGGCAGCGTGGGGCGGACATTCGGAGGTCGTGTCTGCTCTGCTTTACGCCGGAGCCAAAGTGGACTGCGCCGACGCCGACGGTAGAACTGCTCTGAGGGCTGCTGCTTGGGGGGGCCACGAAGACATCGTCCTAAACCTCCTTCAGCATGGAGCCAAAGTCAACAAAGCAGACAACGAAGGACGAACGGCGCTCATCGCCGCGGCGTACATGGGCCACCGAGAAATCGTGGAGCACCTCCTCGACCACGGCGCTGAAGTCAACCACGAAGACGTTGACGGGAGGACGGCCCTGTCGGTGGCCGCGCTCTGTATTCCTGCCAGCAAAGGTCACGCATCGGTTGTGAGCCTCCTGATCGACCGGGGCGCCGAGGTCGACCACTGCGACAAAGACTGCATGACTCCTCTTCTTGTTGCCGGCTACGAAGGACACGTGGACGTAGTCGATCTGCTCCTGGAAGGCGGCGCCGACGTAGATCACACCGACAACAACGGGCGCACCCCCCTCCTGGCAGCTGCATCGATGGGCCACGCATCCGTAGTGAACACGTTGCTTTTCTGGGGTGCCGCGGTCGATAGCATCGACAGCGAGGGCCGTACCGTGCTGAGCATCGCCTCCGCTCAGGGAAATGTGGAGGTGGTCCGGACTCTGCTGGACAGAGGTCTGGACGAAAACCACAGGGACGACGCAGGCTGGACCCCGCTGCACATGGCGGCCTTCGAGGGCCATCGCCAAGTGTGCGACGCCCTGATCGAACAGGGCGCTCGATGCTCAGAGGTGGATAACGACGGCAGAATCCCACTGATACTGTCTGCACAGGAGGGACATTACGACTGTGTCCAGATCCTCCTGGAAAACAAATCCTGCATCGACCAGCGGGGCTATGATGGCAGGAATGCCCTCAGGGTGGCGGCACTGGAAGGTCACAGGGACATTGTTGAACTGCTATTGAGCCACGGCGCCGACATCGATCACAAAGACGCTGACGGTCGCCCCACCCTCTACATCCTAGCGCTCGAAAATCAGCTGGCCATGACGGAGTACTTCCTGGAAAATGGTGCAAACGTGGAAGCTTGTGACATCGAGGGCAGGACGGCGCTCCACGTGTCCTGCTGGCAGGGACACATGGAGATGGCAAGGCTGCTGATCAACTACCACGCCGACGTGAACGCCTGCGACAACGAGAAGCGCTCCGCCCTCCAGTCGGCAGCGTGGCAAGGCCACACGAAGGTCGTGCAGTTCTTGATGGAGAACGGCGCCCACGTGGACCACACCTGCAACCAGGGAGCGACGGCGCTGGGGATAGCGGCGCAGGAGGGTCACATCGAGGTTGTGCAGATCCTTCTGGAAAACGGCGCCGACCCCAACCACGCCGATCAGTTCGGACGCACGGCGGTGAGAGTAGCAGCTAAAGGCGGCCACTCCACCATCCTGAAACTCCTGGAGAAGTACGGCGCTACGACTCTGAACGGGTGTAACCCCTCGCCCGTCCACACTATGGAGGACAAAACACCGTTAGCCGTTTCTGGCAAGATGCAGTCCCTCACCATCAAGTCCAGCAGTTCTGGCAGCACGGGGGCAGGAGACCTGCAGTCCTCTGGACGCGGTCTCCCTAATGGACCCGTCCACGCTTTCAGCTCTCCGTCAGAGTCCCCCGATTCCACGGTGGACCGGCAGAAATCCTCCCAGTCAAACAACTCCCTGAAGAGCTCTAAGAACTCGTCCCTCAGGACCACGTCGTCCACGGCCACGGCTCAGACGGTGCCGATCGACAGCTTCCACGGGATGAGCTTCACGGAACAGATCCAGCAGCACTCCCTGCCCCGCAGCCGCAGCAGGCAGTCCATTGTGTCTCCTTCGTCCACCACAAAGTCCAACAGCCAGCAGCCGTCATCTCCGTCCAACGACTTGGACTGGTCTCAGCTGAAACCGGGCTCCAAGCAGCCGAAGGTGACAAAAACAGGAAACGGGACTTCGAATGGCAAAGGAGACAAGAAGAAGGTGAAAAACAGCCAAGCTCAAGTTCTGGAGTACGAAATGACCCAGTTGGACAAGAGAATGGCCTTCAACAAGTCCGTGGCCAACATCGCCGTGAAGGACCCTCACTGCAAGATCGTGATCGGGGGTCCGGTCCAGCAGGACAGGGCGCCGTGCCAAGACCAGTTCTTCATCCAGCAGCAGAGCTGCGCCGAGAAGAAACGCAACGGCATCATGACCAACCCCAACTACCACCTGCAGAGCAACCAGGTGTTCCTGGGACGGGTGTCGGTCCCCAGAACTGTTCAGAACCGGGGCCACCAGGACGTGATGGGGGACTATCCCATCGGGGAAACAGAACTGAGCCTTAAACAAGCCCTGAAACTGCAGATCGAAGGGTCCGACCCGGGCTTCAACTACAAGAAGGAGACTCCGTTATAGCTGGTGATGAAACTGTTACCTGTCAGAACAAACTCACCTTATCAGAACCAGAACCAGAACCATCAATCTGCATGAAGAAACAAAGGAAAAAACCCAARTCAGCTGCAGACTGTTGCAGCTGTTCTTCATGCAGACATCAGAGACCACGTGCCAAAGTTCCACCTGCAGACAAACAGAGCTGGTCTGAACCATTCGTTGTGCCTACATCTGTTACAGCCTCTGTTTGTTCCTTTATTTAATGCTTTCATTAAATCGTCTCGACGCACTTTTTAAACRAATACATTTTACATTTACTCTGTCATTTAGTTTCCAAACATATCAGATTTTACAGCCGCAGATCTGAAAATGTGACGACGTGTAAAATATAAATTCTCCCAGACTTTTCTGTTTCAATTCATATTTTACTCATCAGAACAGTTTTTATTTTACAGTTTGTTCCGTTCGAACCGACTGCGACGCATCGGAGGATTACATGTCAAGAAAAAAGACGGATATTCTGCCTTTTTAGAGACCCCAAATAATCTGTGTTCAGCTTGGATTACTCTGTTACATTAGCTTCACAGGTATAAAAAAAAACAAAAACAAACGTATTTATTTTGTTGGGGAAAAAAGCCACTTTTGTGTTTTTTTATTTTATTTTTTGTGTTCTACATGGTGCTGTGTTCAGTCGACGCCTGCGAGCTTTTATTTTTACAAACTGCTTCCTGTTTGTTTATTATGGCAAACATCTGAGGAGGAGGAGGAGCTTAATTGACGATGTAAAAACAAAAAGTTAATTTCGTCCCCATGGGACTTTTCAGTTTGTGTATCGTGTGTGTGTTCAAGAATATTTAAGTACGCTTTGTGTTCCGTCAGCAGAAGTTCGGTGCTAAATTCAGCTTTTTTTTAAATAGCTTTTTACAGTAAAGAGAGCCCAGGATTTGTCACATTTTTGTTTCTTCTGCTGGATTTTTCAGGGGCGACAGGAAAAAGAGTTTAGCCATCAAGACGACTTTGCGATTATATATTATTATATATTATTATTTGTTAACGCAGAGTCGTGAAGCCAAAGTTGAAGCCGCTCGTCACGAGGAGGAAGAGGAGCTCAAACATCGCTGCTCGAATCAACGAAGGAAACAAACCGAAGAGTTTTATCAGGTCGTTCGTCTCGATGCTGGTTTTGTTTGTTGGTTGGCGGCCGGGTTGTAAATAGCTTCTCGTGTACATTTACCTTTCATTTCAAGTCATTTCTGTATCATACGAGGCAGGATTTTCTGATGTATAATAAAGTGCTTAATAAAACATATTTGCTTTACTGCTGAGAAAATGAATCGAGACGTTTTATTCTGCTGAGCAGAGCTTTGTAGTTTTAGTACATTTACTTCGTTACAGTACTTAAGTAATTTTTTGAGGATTTGTAATTTTACCAAGTATTTTTTTTAAATCATTACTTTTGTTTCATTACATTTAAAACCTAAAATTGATACTTTGACTTCTTTACTTTAAAATTTAACATCTAGTTACTTGTTACCAGTGTTGTTTAAAGTACCACAAAGTGATACTTGAGTAAAAGTACAAGTACCTTACCAAAAAAAAAACTACTTGGGTAATAGTTAGTCTCTTTAGGAATATTACTTGAGTAAAAGTCTTAAAAGTATCTGATATTTTTTGTACTTAAGTATTAAAAGTAAAAGTATTGATTTAAAATAAGCAGTTGAATTTTCTGTAAGGACATTTATCAGGAGGTGACCTCCCCAAAAAAATACAGAAATGACTGTTGTATTAAAATCACTAATTAATGTTAAATTTAGGATGCACTAGTCCAGCTGTTTCAGTTTATATACATATATCAAGGGTGATTAAACCTTTTCCCCAAAATGAAAATCTATCTGAGGGCTGCGGCCAAATGTAATAATATAATACATGAAATACAAATACTTCTTAAGTACAGTCCTTTTATTTTAATGATTCTGTCCTGCTGGAGTGTGACATGATTTGTTTGTGTACAAACTAATACACTATCAGAGTTTTATATATTTATACTTCTCATTCAACCATCCATCCATCCATC